TCGGAGGTGGGGTGATTGCAGAAGCTTCTTCCCAAAGTGCTCTCAACCGAGTGTAGAAGGTCGAGACCGGTCGCTTCTCCTGTTGAAGAAGTGAAATGAGACGGCGCAACTCATATGCGCGTGACGAACTGCCTTGACCAAAGCGCTCTTGCAGGTCCACCCAAATTGCGCGGGCACTCTCCGCGAACCGAATACTGCTACGAATCTCCTTGTCCATCAAAGTTTTCAACCAGCCTTTAACCATGGCGTCACATCGGACCCAGGCTCCCTTTGCGGGTTGATCGGCGGGTTTGACGAGAGAGCCATCCACAAAGGCATACTTATTTTTGGCGAGTAAGGCGTCCTTCATGTCAAGAACCCATTCCCCATAATTTGAGGATGTTAAAACATCACCAACGAGCATGTTTCCCGGGCTGTCAGACTTGCACAGCTGAAGTTCGTCGGGCAACTCATCCTCCGACTTCACACTGTTCTTCACGACGGAATTGACATCGTCGTCACTCATGCTGAAGCGTTAAGATCACCGGGACCTTATCGCTCTGATACCATGTAAAATTGTACGGAAATAAAATTGAGACTTTGATTTACGTGGTTCTTCCTCACGTTGTGTGAGGCTTGCATCCACGGAAACACAGCTGATCTTTTTATTGATTGTATGTTCGGCTTGATATCACAAGCCTTCTTTTATACCCTGTGTTACAATAATCATCACCTAGGGTTACATAATTAGCAGCAGATGCGGATGTGGGCTTCGTGAGTGCATGGGCTGCATGCACCTCTCGTAGGCTGTCTGCGTCAGTCACCAATTCTCGGCCCAATATCATGGGTTACTAACTATAAGTCTATAACAATTATCAATTTTAGTATTATAATTAGTGGTTATTACCTCTAGCAAATGTCAAGGAACCGACAACAAAAGAGTGTCTAGTTAGGTTGGTAGTCATTTTAATTTTGATTGAACAATATTATTTATTTTTATGAGATTATCCTCATAAGGCCCCGACTTCAAATTAAGTATATGGGGGTGTCATTTCTTGCACTTTGAGAGCTCCCAATCATTGATTCTTTGTTATGTTTGTGTTTTTTTGAATATGAAAGTCTTGTAATAACAGTGGTTTAGAGTTTTCTCAATCACATGTTCGTCCTTTATCTGCCTAATACGCTCTCCAGTCCTGATTTTTGCCTCTTCGGTCCCTCATGCTTTTGTTACCCCCCCCCCCCCCGGTTCCCGCTCAGTGGCTAGGGGTTGAGGGTGTTCTTTCTTTAGCCTTTTTTCTTTTGACAATGGGTTTCAATCGATTGTTATGTTGGACAGTACAACTAGATTCGATCGAGTATGGAAACTCTATCTAGACCTCGAATTACCAGGATTTTTGTGTATGATATTATACCCTAACCCTTAATGAGTGAAACGTAGGTCATAATTATCTAAATCATAATCTATAAACCCTAAAATGGTGCATTCCTTTTTGTGCCTATATTTGGATGAATCATAACCGTCGATTATTGTTTCTAATTAAATTGATCTTGGAGTATAAGATTGGGAGAGTTAACACCTAGATTTTGATCTTTAAGTGTTAGAGTATAGTATCATGTCCGAAAGATCGGTCAATTCAAGATCTAGATAGTGTTTTCATACTCAAGGTATGCGGTACCCCGGATTTCACCCAAGGTACCATAGAACTCGCCATATATATATATAAAAAATGTTTGATTTGAAATATAATCGATAAATGTATTTTACCATCATTTCAGAAGATGAAAATTCATCATTATTCGTTGTAAAAAACAATGATAATTTGTGAACTTTATGAATTTTTTTTTTATTTTTTTCAGCCAATACACCTATTGAAAAAATCCTAGGTCTGCCACTGCTTGAGTATGTATGTATGTAACACTTTAGTAGAAGACACCACTTTGTGTGTTTCGTCCTTAGAAATTGGGGTAAGCTTGTCAATGGAAACAAATTCAAGAGGGGCAACTGAAAGCCCACAATACCTACCTAAACATGACGCAATAATAAAATGGTGCAACAAGTTGATATTTATCTAATTTTTTTGTATACCATGTGGCTGCATCATCTCACAAATGAGGTATGTTCCTATTACGCTGAGGACAAGCCATGATTGGAGGACGATTAAAGTGCGTCTATGATCTTGGGTAATTGCTTCCCTTTTATGTGTCACTAGAATCAATACCCGCGGTGTATTCCCTTTTATGTGTCACTAGAATCAATACCCGCGGCTACACCGCGGGAACGAAAATTTCTGCAACTGATTGTATGGTGGGAAAATTTCAGTCATTTTTGCCATTCGGTTGCTGCTATGTTCTCAGCATCCATCATCTTTTTATGTATTAAAATATGTCTATTTAATTAAGTCCCTTTTGATTTCGATGCATACAATGAAAAGTAACAAATTATATGAGCAGCCTAAGTCCCTTTTGTTTCCTTCCCGTCTCGCAATTTTGTCAACACTCGCATATGTTTAGTCCGGTAATCTTAAGATGTAAGCATAGTGTTTGCGCAAAGGCAGGCAAAATGAAGGGAACACGACCAACGACCTCAAAGTGTAGGCCAAATAATACATACCCAGGTGAGGCGTTTGGCTTTAGATCGGGAAGCACCTCCGCAGCTCCCAAGTTCTCAGAGGTCTTAACAGGTGTTGAGGGTGCATTTACAGCCGAGAGCACTGCATTGAAGGCCGCAGTGGCTGTACCGCCAACGAACTTGCTGCACCATTCATAGTGAGGTAAACATAAATTTCGGTACTGTGACAGGTAGATAACTTGGGAAGTAGAGCGTTCTGAACATTCAAACATAACTACCAAGAGCATTCAGATCAACAAACCTCATGTCTAACGTCTGCAGTGGTCGAGGGGCCCTGAATTGATCAGTTTCCTGAACAAAAGCTTCGTTCACCGTAGAGGTGCTGTAAGAAGAAGGCAACTACATGAATGGACTGTGGGAAGGTGGCATTCCATATCATGTATCTGATAAAAAGGAGGACCAAAGCAATGAAAAGTGGCAGGCATACCTCGGTGCAGTGTCGCGAAGGCGCTTGCTTTGAGACTCTAGAGCTGGTATGGAAGAGCTGTTCAAAATTGTTTGGCCATTATGTTTTTGAAAGCCGCATAGAAAAATGAGTCAGAAGTAGCACGACACGTAGTAAATGAAATTAGCACAGGGATGGAAAAAGACCTAGAAGGGACCTCTGCAACCGTGGCGATGACACTCCCATTTTTGTTCCCAAAGCGAGGTCCATGCGTTCTTTTGCCGAGGGTGAAGGGCTGTTCATCCCTTTCAACACCGGACACGCAGAAATCGTCCATTGGGTCCGCAGACTGGCCTAGATGGAGGTTAAGCAGGAAGGTATATTCCTTGGCAAGCAAGTTTTCTATCTCTGGAGGGTAACCACCACCTCGATCTGGGGCAGCAGCAAAAAGAGCACTTGCCGACACCCCCAAAAGGGTTTCTGCAGTTTGGCCAAGAAGCACAAAAGGTGCGAAAGCAGACCCAGCTTGGACCATGAGCCGGATGCGAAAGCTTGCCATTTAAAACGGAAGAGGTGTGAGGTATTTTAGCGAGACATTAAAGGCATTAAATTAAATTGGTAATAATGAGCGGGTGAATGATATGAGCATACCACTGTTTGAGTTGATGCGGGTGAACCGTAGTGTCGCATTTGTCGCACCAAAATGGGGCATCACGCGTTACAGCAGCTTTACAGCAGATGGAACATCCTAGGTAGCACCAAGGGCGCGACATATCTATGTCGGTGATCTTGCCAGTACAACGAAATTTCCCCCCCTTGTAGTTTGAAAGAAATGAAAACAGGTGATCATTTACTAAGTAGAAAAGTGGCCTAAAATGCACAGAGAAACTTCCCAGGTGAAGAAAGCACTGACCATGGTAGAGGTGGACTGAATGGTTTGAAGCTCGGGAATAGTCCTAAAGGATTCACGGTAGACTGTCATTGCCTTCTCAGGAGTATCAATTTCAGTTGGGATGACACCGATGGCTCCCGCAGCATTGCCAAAACTGTGCATAGTAAGTGGGAATGGATTTAGTGCACATGCGTCGGCATGAATGCAAACAACTATAGACGGATCATACGTACTGAAGGGCAAGGGCCTGGGCCTGTGGTACTGGTGGCAGCATCACAATGCGAGTTGCGGAGCTGTTGGAAGCACTGACAGTCCCTACAAACAAAGCAGCAAGGAACATGAGAACGGTGGGTTCGTAGTGAGGATGAAGGCAAGAAACTCCTTCTCAAGAGAGGTTGGTCGATAGCATGCAACAACTGGTAACACAGGTAAGGTAAGCTCATATCTACACATGTTTGATGGTCAAACAACTAAAGGGCACTAAGACCAAGCGGCAAGCCTATTCGCTGCATACGCATTGGCAAGCACATCAAGAGCATAGTAAAATCCAGAAAATAGTTAGTACTCAAAAGTTGGGTGCAGATTGCATTTGTATGAAGAGGACTTTCTGATGCAAAGGTCAATCTGACCGAGGTACTATATCAAGAGGAGGTAACAAAGTAAGCAACGTGGTTATCATGTTCTTCTATAGGCGGCAATCTAAATGACGCTCGGATACCAAGCGGTCGGATAATACGAAAGTGGGTAGTAAGGTATTCTATAGGTGGTATCTATTCAAAGATGATATACATCGGAAGCAGACAATGAAAGCACATACTTGACAGGATCATGAACAAAGAAAAAACAGGGAAATGTTACCACGCCAAACTGAAAGATTGAGACTGGTAAATGCCACAATAACCGGTGCGGCACCATCCATCTAAATGAGGTCTGGTAGTACCAGCCTCTCTGCAAATTCCTCCCACAGCGTGACTGACAGGGAGGTTTCTCTGCCAGCAATACATGAAACATCAGAGCGGCTCACGACCATAGAAACCGGGCAAACTAACAACAAAGAGAACGTACCTCTCATTTTGAATGACAATGGTCTGCCTCTTTATGGACCGATTTTGTTTCTATACATAGCCAACAGGCGTAGCAGAGACCAGCCGACCAACAACATCTGCGTAAAGAATTTGGTGAGGAATCAGTGGGCAAATTAGTACAAATGAAAAGCAAAGGACATAAACGAACCCACTAAAGCTTCATTCAGTGAAGTGATGGCGTGTAGGTCTTCTAACTGGCGAAATTCAAAGCTATCGGGACAGAAGGTTGAATTGTCTTCGGTGGATGGAACAAAAGAGGTGTTTGAAGTAAAACTCAGCACGCGCTCGTTGGAGCAGGCCGCCCAACGTTTCCTTGATTTGCCCTGGAAAAACTTAGTCACGAAGTACACGGTGCGGACAGCAAGAACTTCATCGAGCTGGGCCGATATTTGATTCGGGGCAAGGCCCTGCACCAATACTCCCTAGGAAAAGGACCTATATCAGAAAGGAACCAAGGAATCGTCTGGCAGTACGAAAAGGAAGAAGTAAGTACAAACCAATTCGTCCGTCCAGAGTGTTGCGCGCTCCGTGAATCCGCCAGGCCGAGCAGGGTTTCCAGCCGTCCATGAATGAAGGAGGCGCAATTTGAGGACAGGCGATTTGTCCGTCCAGGAGAGCTTGGATAGCAGGATATGATTCATGACTTAGGGTAGCAGAAGAGGTTAGAGCGAAAAGGAGTTTTTTTGCGGAAAAGGATAGATTGGAATCGGGGAGAGGATGAAACTATGGGGAAAGGGGCATAAATGGAGTGTGAGGGGTGGAACAGAGGCCATAAGCATGATGGTTTCCCTCAACCAAGGCAGGCATGGAGGGGTGTACGATGGGAGGTGGCGTGTGTGTGAGCAAATGCAGCGAGATTCGGCAGCGGTGGTGTGTATACGAAACAGCGAATACATGGGAACTTGGACCAGGTGTGGCTGTAAAGTCGTAAAGATAACAAGAGCAGCAAGGCAGAGGCCCTGCCCTGTGGAGGCATGGTCGCTGGGGAGGCATGGGAAGAAGGATGTTTCGCTGGGGAGGCTTGGGGGGGCTGTTCTAGAGAGGGAAGAAGGGTCCTTTTCCAAGCAGGGAAGAAAGATGTCTTAAAACCAGCAGCAGAAGAGGACAAAATTTGACACAGTAAACGAAAATTGAAACCAAAAAGCGTACCTAGCTTTTATTTGTCATAAATATTAGTGACTTAAGTGTAGATACACGATCAGAATGTATTGCATAATGATATCTATGGTAGTCGACTTTAAAATTTTTGGTTTAATTGATAATCATGTTGAATGGTATTCGGAGTGTTTGAAGTGGTGAATGTTGTTCATTTGTATAGAGAACAAAATCATGTTGTTGAATACCTAGTTAGTAACACTACAAAAAAGAGGAGGTTTGGGGACGACAAAAGTCATCCCTGAAAATAGGAAAAATCGTCCCTATAGTTTTTGGGGATGACTTAGTCGTCCCCAAAGAGTGGTTCCCTATACTCTTGTCCTCTATTCTTTTGGGGACGACAAAAATCTAGGTCGTCCCCATTACTAGGGACGACAGTCGTCCCCGATACTCGCAAGTCGTCGTCTCGTTTCTTGTCCATGAAAGACAAAATGTCGTCCCCATAGCTATAACTTTAGCGACAATAAGTCGCCCCCTAAACATCATTTCTAGGGACAACATGTTGTCCCACATAATCGATTTCATAATTGCGTTGGGACAATATGGGGATAAAATATCGTCCCATTTTATTTTTATAGGGTTGACATGTCGTTCCCATAGGTATCAAATTGGAGTCCAAAAATCGTCCCCATAAGCTTTATTCAAGGACTATGAGTGGTCTCTTATTCTATATCTTTAGAGACGACAAGTTGTCGCTTATGACTTTTAGGGACAAACAATTGTCCCTTAACTTGTGTATTGGGGGACAAGGAATTGTGACTAATGCACATTCTGGGAACGACTAATTATCTCCTACGTAACTCGTATGAACGACTTGTTGTCCTTTAGCATGTGTCTTTTGAGATGACTAATTGTCACCGATATGACTGTATCACTTGTGGGGACGACCAATTGTCCTTTACCCTGTATTTCCGGGGACATCTAATTGTCACTTATTAAATTGTAGGGACGATCATATGCCCCTTAATCAATATCGTAAGGAACAACAAATTGTTACCTATGTAAGTTCTAGGAGACTATCAACGAAGGGTTACCTTGTAAACTCCAAGTGAACCATTGGAACAATCTAAGGACATTTCTCAATATAAAAAATGTGTCATTGAATCATCATCATAAATAAATTGAAGCAAATTTACTATAATATCATCACAATTCCATAATAAGAATACCAAGATTCAACATTTGATAGACTAAACATCCTTAGCAAAACAATAAATAGTATCAACTAAAAGACGAGTTAGAAAAATCTATAAAGTATGCTAGCTGTTATCTCCTATTATAAACGTACTATAATATATCTTCGCAATACCATAACTCGATTTCACCAACCCGCATCTTCTCTTATCTCCTGAAATATAATAAAATTCAAAAGTTAATCTTCTAAGCAACATTAATTGGATCAGAATAAAAAAATACAGTATTATTAAAAATACAAGAGACACAACTTTATACAATTAAAAATTAAAATACTGTGTATTGGATTATTGGGGTGATCTCTTTCTCATACTCTCTGGTGCCTCCTTTCGTTCACCGCTTGAAATTCCTAATTCAATTAGAATTAGGGTTAATTATTTCTTGAATACGGGTAAGTTGTTAGTTAGCAGGGGTTAATTAGGGTTTCACTATATTGAATCATTTTTGCTTTTCACTTTGGAATAGAGAGAGCTAATAAGGTTCAACTTACCTTTGTGAAAATATAGAGAAGAATTAAGGGATTCAATTGATTTCTTTCTTCTCGTTGTGAAAAATATAAAGAGAATCAAAGATTTAGAGGGGGGGACTTCGTACCTAGCCCGCTAAGACGAAATTTCAGAGCTCCACCTCGCTGCGCCGCTTCAAACAATCGAAGGCTCTGGGATTTTGTTAAGGAATCTTTCTGAAGAAAACGGCAGGAACGGAAGGAGAGCAGGAGGCTGTGAGGTAACTCCGCGGCATCTTGTATACCAAAGAAGAAGAAAAAAAGCTGACCGTAATTGAGAGCGAGTGAAATTGCTTACTTGATCACGGAGGAAAAATCCTTTCCGGGAAGAAAATTTTGTGGAGAAGAGGGTTTGTGTGTCTAGGGCTCTAGGCTATCTCTATAAAGGAAAACCCAAAACCTAAATGCCATTATTTCCTTTTTTTTTTTGGTTGATAAAATTCAAAACTCTTTACCCCAAAATTTGGTTTGCCCGCCGCCGAAACTAAAAAATGTTGGCTAAGCCAAGCCGCCAAACCATAAAAATTTCGTTAACCCTGCCTGGCGCTGCCCAAAGCCTATCAAATTAGAGAATAATTATTAAGGATGACCTTTAAAAAGTGGAGAACCATAGATTCGTTAATACTTAGAGTTCGTTTGCTTCATGAATTTGTATTAAGAATTTGTATAAAAAATCTAACCATCAAGGATTTGGTAACAATTATTTGTTTGTTTGGCCAATAAATTTGGAGACAAATATGTGGAGGTAAAAAATGTAATTTCAAAATATAGTATCACTACAGGAAAAGTGGCTTTACGCAACACTTGTTTTGTAACACTTTTTAAAAGTGTCGCATAAAATAGACATAGACAACACTTAGGTTATGTGTCGCCTAATATATATCTTATACAACACAAATTATCAAATTCAAAATTTTTGTTACATATACCTAATAATATGCAACACTTGCATCATAAAATAAATTGTGTTGCCTATTCTTTCATTTTATGCAACATTTAATAAAAAAATGTTACATATTATATCAATTTGATACTTATTATTAACTTATACTATTAATCACTACAAAAAAATAATTCATCATTTCATTTTGTCACAATAGAAATCTAACATGACATGGTTCTAATTTGTCATAAATATTCGACATGTTAAATATATAGTATGACAAGTAATGTATATCACTAACATATTAATTATCACTGAATAGGACTCAGATATGGCACATCAAAATACATATGTGGTGGGAGAAATTTTACAATGCTATATAGTATTGGTGCTATAAGATTTTGCCTTTATGGTACACCTTAAAATTGTACATTTACGTTATGGTACAACTTCAGATTGTACCTATACTTTTTGTACAAATTCTTTTATGGTACAACTTGAACTTGTACTTTTATGTGATGGTACAACTTCAAGTTGTAAAGTTGTACCATAACATAATGATACAAATTGCTTTATGGTACAACCTAAACTTATACATTTAATGTTATGGTACAACTTTAAGTTGTACATTAAAGCACCAATACTATATAGCATAGTAGAAGTGCTCATGTGGTGGATTTGACCATTGACATTGCCTCTTAATCTCCTATATCAATTATTCAGATCATAATGTTCGTTAACAACAAATAGGTTATCATGTTATACTAAAAATGTGTTACTTGACAAGTTCATTCAGTTTGATTTCACAAACAGTGGTTCATTTTAGTTTCTTTTACAATTTTATTATAAAACCTGAATTTCATTATTTTCTTTTTACATTTTGGATATTAACAACTTGTTTCTTTAACCAAACCGTATTTAACACCCGGCCTATAAAATATGTTAGGATTCCTTAATTAATAACCCTTCCCATCTAATCACGTCTACATAAAGAAACCCTAGCCTCAAATATAACCCCAAGCAGCCCCCCCCCCCCCCCCCCCCCCCCCCCCCCCCCCCCTCGTCGCACTCCAACAAGATTGGCAGCGTCGACGAACGAGAGAGAAGCAATCCTGTTTCTAGAGCAAGAGGAGAGTCAAAGAATTCCAGGAAAGAGGTGAGGTGGGAATCATCATCCCCAAGGAAGCGAGCCAAGAACAAAGATGATGGCGTCAAACAGAGTTGCGGCCAAGAAGTTGAAGCTACTTCTTGGACAATCGGGGCTTGATGTAGTTAATGATAACCCGCTCTCGTTAACAGAGCAGTACTGAAGGGAAAATAAGTCGGCTTATTGACGAACGAGGCGATGGAGTCGGACAAGAACAACCTTCCCTGTGACAATGTCGAGGCGGGATGAAATTGAGGTAAGGGCTTAGCTCTCTTACTTCTTAGTCAATGTTGTCTATGAAATGTTTGGAATTAGATGATAGAGCAAGGTCGTGTGTTAGCATGGAAAGTGGGAGAAGTTTATTTATTACCGGTTAAGAACCCAAATTGCAGACTGGTTGTATCATTATTGCATGTATACAAATAATAATTCGTATCATAACCATAAGAGTTTGATTGGGCAACATATATATTGAGTATTGAGGCTGGGTCGAAGGCTGAAGGTGAGGCTTTTAAGTGGTGGTCAAGGATAATGATTAGCTAATCAATTGATCTTGCATGTAGTAATACTTAGGAAAAAGTTCAGGTGATGAAATTTGAGATTCAAAGCACATAACTTGGTAGAATGGAATCTTCACCTTGGACCCCAGATAATGTTGAATGTAGGTAAGCAAGAATGGGGGAGGTAAATGTTGTATTCTACTTTATTTGATGGAATCCTCTTCTTGGATTTAATTATCTTTACACTAATACACTTTTCTTCCATGCGGCTATGAGAAATATAGGTTCATTTCTTGTTAATTTATTTTAGTATTTGTTGGGACCTTTTTTATTAAGTTTCTACTTAATTTTCAACTTGGCTTGTCAAATATTTGAGTTTTAGATGAGTTATGTGAAGTGAAGCTCTTGGATCCCTGTTACTGCATTAGGACGGACAGAAGAGAAGAAAAAGATAAAGCTAAGGACGGAAATACAAGCAGCGGTAAAACATTATAGCTTGCTTACAGGTTGGCTGAGGAAAAGAAGAAATCCGATAGACAATATATTTTGCTTACAAGCAAAGCAAGAGCATCATATATAATTGTTAAGCTAGATATGCAATTTGAGATTAAAGTTGAGCGTATATCTCTTTAATTTTTAGTACAATCTATTTTATTTTATTGTTTGATGATGAATTAAATTTTGTTCTATTATTGTCAAAATTTTGTTGTATAAAGATATTTGTGACAACAGATTTCTCATAAGACCTTTACTATTATTATCAAAAGGTTCACATTAATCTTAAATGTCACAACAAAACTTCTCACAAAATTCGAATTGTTCGACACCAGGCATAACAATAAATATTATACTTGTGACAAATAAGTTTGTTACCAATAGGTTTGTCACAAAATTTTAATTTTGTGATAATAACACCATCACAAAATTCCTTTTGACACAAAAATATTATAGAAAAGGTGGCTCATTTGTGACGACTCAAACTCGTGACAGTTGGAATATATTTAGTGACGGCAAAACTAGTCGCAATGTATACTATTTGTTACAAGTAAAATTTTGTCACGATTGAATATATCTTTTGTGACGACAAAATCTGTCATGAATAAAACATATAAATGTTGGTTATAGTTTTCAAAAAGTGTTGCATAAAAGTGGGGAGGTGTTGTCTAAAATAGTGTTGCGTATGGGGTATGCATATGCAACACTTTTTTTTTGTTACTAAAGGTGGAAAAAGTGTTACCTATTACTTAAGGTAACACCACTTTTAGGTGACACTAATAAAAGTGTTGCATATTGCATATACAACACTTTTGACACTTTTTACAACACATTTCATGTGTTGGCAAATGCAACTTTTCCCGTAGTGTATCTAATTTGTAAGAGTTGTAATATGGAGTGCCGTGATGATGATGCGAGTTCAATCTCGACATCTTTTCTTGCATCACTCTCCTAAACATAATAATTATTGTTTAAAGAGACGTCAAGCTATTGTTATTAAGTGATTAATTACTAAGTTAGTTAGACAAATGTATGTCTATTTTCATTACTAATACATTATACCATGTTAATTTATGTAAAATTCTTATAATGAATTATATATTTCTTCTAAATATCTCGGTGCGCGCAAAGCATTGACGAATTAACTAGTATAATATAAAAGAGTAATAAGGTAAATTAGTTTCTTAAGTTATAAATCTCAAACTCTGAAATCTATAACCAATTGAACAAACAAAGAATGGTTTCAAATCCATAATGTCTCAAATCCCTAATAAATTTTTGTTCTCGTGATTTTGAAGTAGGCTGGTATAAACTTGTCTAAGGTAAGAGTTGTATTCCTCGATTCAGGTACATTTTTCCTGGATGGTTATTCTGGGCATAGTTAGTAAATACTCCGTTTAATACACGTATATGTAACCGTATGTATTTTATCCTTTTAAAACTTCTGTATCCGTATTATTGTCAAGCCGTTTCATTTTTTCCCCTTCATTTGATGTCTCCCGTATTGAAGACGTATAAAACCTGTATAACACGTTTAATATGCGTACTTAATGAATTAAATTGTTAATTTTAGGGTAAATACAATTTAATATCCAAACCTTTTATTTTAAACAATATAATAGCCAAACCTTTTCGAAAACAATCTAATATCCAAATCGTCAACTTTTTGTCTGTTTGACCGTTAGTTGACACTTCAAAAAAGTTCGAAGTACGACACTTCATCAATATCCATCGATATCTTCTCTGAAAAACCACCAACATATCGTAGTTCCAAACCCGAGAAGTCCATGACTCCACCATGATAGTATAGAATATCTAAATATTCAGTCATCTGAAATGCCAAAACAAGAAACAAAATTGTATTGTGACAATTTCCCCTAAACAAAACTTTTTTGAAGTGTCAACTAACGGTAAAACGAACGGAAAGTTGACGATTTGGATATTAGATTGTTTTCGAAAAGGTTTGGCTATTATATTGTTTAAAATGAAAGGTTTGGATATTAAATTGTATTTACCCTTAATTTTAATATTATTTATATTATTTTTCAATTAAAATCATTAATTTTGTATATTTATGACTATTAACGTACTGTTAAACATAACATTAGATTAAAAACGAAGTAAAATATCGGTACATATTTTATACGTAACATTCCCATACCTTGTTTTACTAACTATGATTATGGGCGCAATCACAACTAAAACACATCAGCTACATTACGGTAAAATAATTTTTAACTCTTGTGTGACTTGTGAAAGAAAAGACAAGATGAAACAGTAAGATGACAACTTTGATATTTTAAAACTACGTTTAACAATTTGTAAGACCACGTTGATCAATTTTGTAACTCCAATGAACTTGTGCGCCAAATTCATTTTTTCTGTGAAAAAAAGGGTGCAATCTTTTATTCTTTGGGGGGAAATTCCTGCCCCAATTAACTTGCGCGTCCATCCATGTAGCCATTAATAAAAAAATCTTCAAATAACAATAGAAATATCCTACTGTAATCCTTTATCATTTGTTTATAATCAATCCTTTATCATTTTTTATGATGGAGAATCCACCGTAATCTTTTACTTCCCCCAAACTTCTTTTTTGGGGACAACTAAAAAGCTCTAAATTTAATTAAATATCAATTATGTATTTTAAGGGGACCGTATTATATAACTGTCCCCGTTATTACTTAAAATAATATTTTCTAAGACAAATTAAGATAGTCGTGCCCTATTTTTGTCCCCAATGCTTCTCAATTTTGTAGTGTAAAGAGTATTTGATTCCCCTTAGAAGTCCCATGGTCACTCATGGTTGAACCTACTTTATGTAATTGGATTAATCGAGACATTATCAGGGTTTCCACACTTAAATGGTCAATAATACAAGTTAAAGTGTATTTGTGTCCATCTTATCATTCCAAAACTAATTTATTTTTTTCTACTTCCGTCATCATGTTGTAAGTTCTTACGTTCCAAACTTACATAACCATGATAAGCTTTAGTATGCGACTCCCAGCCGAAGGCTCTAATTTTAACAAGTCTCAACCTAATAATTTGTTAATAGAGAATAGATAAATTGGCATGCCAAATAAGGTGTTCAATTTATATCAAATTTTTAAAAAATATGTTAGTATTTGTGAAATGGTTAGAGGAAACACAAAACAACAAATCACAAATGAGATTACATAAGCAAAAACTAGGAAAAGCCCATTGTTATAGGTTCATTCATTGTTGAGAGACAGGGGTGCCAATTCCATGACGCTTGGTAGGAAAAGCAAGGAACAACAAGCTGCTGACCAACCCAATCCCCAAAGGCAAGGTCGAAAGCAACTCCTTCACTTCCTCCGTGGGCTCTGGAAAAAAACAGCTCACCACATTCTTGTCGAACAACGCCACAGATGCGAAAACAAGAGCACTCATCGTAGCATGGAAGAAATCAATGAACCTCAACCTGTATTGTTTTGCTTCCTCTACTGACAGCTTATTCACGGATCCATCCATCACCCATAACCCATTGAATGTCGCCAGCCCATACCTGATCTTTCCCTTGGCATCCCTAAAGCTGTCGGTCAAGCATTGGAGGAAGCAGGAAAGGCCGCAGAGGGTAAGGAGGGAGAGAGCCATGTATTTACTTATTACGCTCAAGCATCTCCCTTGGTTTGTGAGAATCGGGGACAAGATTTGGAAGGTTAGGACAGACCCCGTGGGGAGAAGCTTTGTGAGCAACTCGGTTGCTTTGAAAGTCTTCTTCATAGCCTTTCTCGCCGGACGTTTTGTCTTGGTCTTCCGGGGAGGCAACTCCGGTGGTGGCGTTGATGGTGGTTCGTCTCCCAAAAGGGGTTGCTTGTGTTCTTCAACTGCTTCCTGGGTTGCCGCATGTTGTTGTATGTTAATGTGATCCATGGCTCTCTCTCTCTCTAAAGTTTTTTTTTAGGTGCTTGTTTCTTTTCTGGGCTTTCTCTTAACGTTTCATCTATTCGATGACGAGTTTTTTCTATTCCATTTGGTGCTGATATTTAAGGGGTTTATTGGAGCAAAAAAAGGATTTTGCCTTGATATGTTTCTGTTTCATTGTTGTAAAAGTTCTTTTGGTTATTGAATATGTTAATCCTTCCTTCCCCTATGGTTGTTTTGGAAAAGCATTAACGTTAATCTTCGTATTTACTGTTTGAGGGCGGAGTTTCAGGTGGACGGAGCAGTTAATGATCTTCTTAAAATGGTGCTTCAAGAAATGAACAAAGGATCATTTAAACTTATTTGTAAGTTGTAACAAACGACAATTAAGCCTTCTCGCCTATAGAAAGAGAAACAACCTAGCTAGCTTGTATTCATGATTTTTTCCATCAACTTATGGATAATTAATACATTTAGAAATTTGTTCCTTTAGGCAAATGAAGTAATGAACTAACCGACCACGTGAATTAATTAACCTAATGTGTTTGGCAATCTATTTTACTTATGACTAGAGTATGTAACTGTTTATTTTTCTTTTTGATTTGTTAATAAGTTCTTTTCTTCATTAACTATTCGAACCTAAGGTGTGTTGGATGTTCTCATTTTCATATTATCATTAGGTCACCCTCTTGGGGTTTCAATTGAAGACAAATTTAATATATGAGTGTTAATTGTGAAACTCTCATTTTATTCAGGCCTAATTCAACCGAACATCCAAACTATAAGAAAACGTAATTTCTATCCTCAAGTATTCAATATGACATATAGCACGAAGTATTTTTATTTTAGTGTTAACCGATGTTGACCGTCAGTACTTAACTAATGGACACGACATTGTTGATGTGTATGCCAACGTGACTATTGGATATAGGGGTGTATGTGGGTCGACTTGGTAGGTTTTCATCGTTTTAACCACCCAACCCATGAGCCTCGGGTTGGATGATACCCAAACCCACACATAAATTTCAAGATCCTACAATTTTCTCGAGTCACGGTTTGAGTCGGGTCAGATGAAAATCCAATCCATTACACGATAACAAAATGTTTATATTAATAATATAATACGACGAATAATACATAAATGACACTAAATGAAACTGCAAAACGATTAAGATATTGTAGTAACATATGCATTCATACTAGAAAAATACAATGATTAGTATACCATTATCACCATATAGGACCCTATCAATCATTAAAGTCATTTGTACAAGAACATGGAGAGTATACCGCCATCACCTTAGAGGACCCTATCAATCATCTGCAACTCTCATACCGTATCTCTTCGCCACACACTGAGCTGTCCCATCGCTTATCACACCATCCGCCACCTCGTACTTCTTGTAATTTGCTTTCAGGATTTCCACTTGTTGTTTGTGCAGTTTCTCTTCTTCCTCCAGATGTTGCTGGAGAAAGCGGGAAAACAGCATTTAGGAAACTACAGATCAAATCGACCTATCATAGAAATAGACCATGAAAAGAAAAGAAAAGAAGAGAAGGGAAGGGAAGACATAACAGGGTCTTCTTCCAAGTGCCACAAGCTCCACCATATGGGCTAATGCAGCTTCAGTAGCATGCCTTACGACAACATGCTTCATGTCTTTTGTGACCTTAGAGTCTGGGTCATCGGCTTCCAACCACTTGAATGTTATTTTCCCGTCGGGTTTTCTTGGACGGTCATCAAACATCTCCAGCTCAGTAGGAAGCACCCTCACTGGTCTTGGCATGCCAGCAATCATGAAAGGAGAGTTGGTCAGCGTTTTAATGACATTTTTTGCCTGATTATGGTCCTTCATCTCAACCAATGCACAATGCAATATTGTTCCTAGGATCCATTAAGTTAGGAATGAAGCTTATATTATTGACATCGCCAAACTTATCTAACCCAGTTTTCAACACTGATTCATTAGCTTGTGGTGGGAGGGTATCGATGTAAACAGTCTGCTTCACCTTCTCCAAAAAATTTCTGCACTTTTCTGCTTCAGAATTTGTGGACTCCATTTTCTTGATCACAACCTGTCACATTGTGGTAAGCGAAATCAACAACAAATTCCAGTTAGCAGTTGCAGGATGCTGTGCGCCAGTTATAATACAGTCAAAGAAGCACACAACACTTCTGGAGATTCTAATAGGAAAACCTCATAAAGCTACTTCAACCCAAGCCCACATAGGTGAATAGAAAGTTCCTAGTTATCAAGTGCAAGTCCTCCTAAAAGCCAGGTTTACTGCAGTTCAGAGATCTCAGCATACTCAAGAGAGAAATTTCTGGTAAGACAACAAATTTTTCACTTTAAAAGCCCATATTTTCAGGTAAGCAATCAGGCACATTTCAGCAATACTATATGAAAATTCATAAAATATATAACTATATAGCAATAGTATAAACACTTAAGACTGTAGATGACATGGAGTAAGCTCGACTAATTGAATATTTTTTAAGTGCAAGGGATTCATGGAAGCTGCAAAAGAGCCAGGCAGTGTATATGCCAGAGTAGAGATTACATACACAGCTTCCTGATGCAGCTACGAAGGCATGCGCTATTCAACGTTGATTCTCAACACAGATGATGTCCACTTGCAATTCAATGATGAAAACCCCATAAATAGGCTGAATTCAAGTGACTACTCAAGTTGCATATAAGATTTCCCACAACATACCAGTGTAAGCGTGTTCATAAACAATAACTCTAGAACTCTCTCAAGTTGCAACCACCAGAAGAAAGGAAAGCAATCGTGCAAGCAAGAATCACCCATAATTTCCTCCGGAAAGAACCATGCATTTTTCCCCCACGCAATTAAGGCACTCCACAAAAAGTAGACCTATCCTGCAATTCCCATTAACAGACGTAACCAGCCGACTGAACTTCAGTCCTCATCAAAGCGCCCTAAAGCCATGTCGACGGCGAGCGCAATGATCGCGCAGGAGGATGAAATCATTCGGTCGTTCCAAGTCACAAATATTACAAAAAGAGAAAGAAGGTACTCGACAGTTACACAGTAAAATTGCGAACTCTGGAAAATGAAACTTCTAGTACCTCGAACTTGCAACGCCAAATTGTAGGTCGTGGCTGCCGACGACAACAACACTCTTCGTCGGAAGGAAGGGGAAATGAACGGGAAAAGTTAATCTACTAACTTGAAGATTCGTTAGCAGATACTAACTGATATCCAAAATACATGAACTAATATCCAAGTACTAAAGTATCTAGAGAGCACAGACTAGTATTCAAAGTTTATTAACTGATATCCACCATGAATCAACTATTATCCCAAACACAAACTAATATCTAGACAACACAGAATAGTATCCAAACAGCACATAATTAGTATCCAGATAACACATAAGAGTATCTAGATAACCCATAAGAGTATTCATATTGAATACTAGTTGGTTGATTGTGGATATTAGTTGGTATATGCCTCATGATGTGAGAGGTCCTGAGTTCGATCCCCAGCGGCGCCGTTTGTGTGTTCTCGGAGGCATGCCTTAGTGCACAAAGTGGCATGTGTCCTGGGTTATCAAATTGAAATGAAAGTAAACACAAAAAAGTAAATTATTGAAAGTAAACACAAGTATGTGCGTTCATCTGGATGGCTGTCAAGAACTATCTTTCAACCAATACCATCTCATTGGAGGTGATGGCCTCCTTCTCTAGGGTGTACGAACAGAATTCATCTGCTACCGTTCATCTTAGGGCTGAAAATTGGCCCGACCCGCCCCTGACCCTGTCCTGACCCTGTCTGACCCGCCCCTGAAGGGTCAAGATGTATAACTGACCCGCCCCGACCCTGTTTCTTTCATGACCCTGTCTGACCCTTTAGGGTCGGGGCGGGTCAGGAAGGGTCGGGTCAGTGGGTCGACCCTAATAAATAGACTACTTTTCTAAAAATTACAATTTGGTACCCGAATTTATTTTTTCTTACATTTTAGCACCTAAATTTAATTTTTTTTACAAATAAGTCCCTAAAATTTGATGGTAAAATTACGTTTTGGTACCCAAATTTTTTAATTTTTACAATTTAATACCTAAATTTTTAAAATTTTACAAATAGGTCCAACATGTTTCTATGATGCTAAGGGTCATAGGGTCAAAAAGTGACCCGACCCTAAATTGACCTGACCCTATCTGACCCTGACCCGACCCTAAGCTGACCCGACCCTAAATTGACCCTATAGACAAACTGACCCAGCCTGACCCTGAGGGTCGGGGCGGGCCAGTGGGTTTTAAGGGCCAAACTTACACCCCTGGTTCATCTGGATGGCCGTCAAGAACTATCTTTCAACCAATACCATCTCACCGGAGGTGATGGCCTCCTTCTCTAGGGTGTACGAACATAATTCATCTGCTAGCTTCTATTCTCAGTAGAGGCGGGCAAGTGGCGCGGTTCAACCGCACCGCACGTCATTTGGACCGCACCGCATATTAGACCGAAATTTAATTGGTGCGGACAAACCAAACCGTTTTAATATGGGGTTTGGTGTGGTTTGGACTGCACTGCATATTTGACCGCAATGAAATATGGACTATGAATAATTGAATTGACAAATTCTAATTGTACGAAAACAAATAATTATATCTAATTATATATGTACATATATTAATAACGTTAGTTATATATGAATTTCATGACCCTTACTTTAGTTAATTAATTACTTAGCAGCTTAAAATAGAGCCTTATTATTCCTCTGGCAGCAGAGTTCAATAGGAGCACCCTGGGTGGCTCGGCAACAGCGGGGACGGATCCTTCAAACCTTAGCGGTTTCCGTCTTCCAAATTCGGCAGTGCTGATAGCTTTGAAACCCCTTCAATTAGCCAAAACCGAACGGAAATTAAGAGCAGCCGCTGGCAATTGACTGTCCGGAGGAATAAAAATTATTAGTGGCGGTTTGAGGTTTTAAACTGCAACCGCGCGGTTTCGGATTAGTTCGACTGCGAGCCTCTAAAAATTCAGACCGCATAGTGGACCGCAAGTCTTACGATGCGGTTTGGCTCGACTGCATAAGCAGTTTGGTGCGATTTGGAGTGGTTTGACCGCACCAATGCCCATCCCTAATTCTCAGGGTCATTCGTAGACAGATAACTCTAGGTTGTGTGATTCATATAGTTCATAAGGAAATAGAATCTCAAAGTACAGTCTTATATATTCCTTCTGGTTGCATGATCTTACCAATCACGCATAGAAGTTGCAACATATATTGATGGAGGATTTGGTTCATGTAGTTTTGGAAGACATTCCATAATATATATATAAGGGTTCCGAAAAAATTCCACTATACAACACTTTGCAAAAAATTTCCCAAAACACTATAGTTTGGAGCAGTTCACTTCAATGTTAAGCAAACTAGATAGTGGTTCGTTTGACACTAGAGCAAACCACATCCGAATAATCTGGATCGCGACCGAGCAAGCAAATGGCCCTAAAATCAACATGGTTCCCGAATAACCCCAACGAACCACCCAAGATTGTTGGTCAGCCTCGCGACTACTTCTAATTTAGGTTCAGAAATTCAAACGAGTATAACTTTGCTAACGTTTATCCGATAGTAGAGATTTTTTTCCACATAACATTTTGGGATATACAACTTTTACTAGAAAGAATTTTAAAAAAGATGAGATTTTTTTTGGATTTAAGTGGTTTTGGGAATGACTTTAGATTTAATTTCCACATTTTCAAATACATTCCGAAAACACTTATATAACAAAAAATTTATTCCTTCAAAATTAATGCATATTAAAAAAAATTGTGATGATCGGACTGTGGAGCACAAAGTTACGATCTTCCAAAGTTAGACAAAATAAAAAATAACTTGTTTGGGGTAGCAAACAACATTTTTTGGCGACGAAATCGGCTATTTGAGGCTTCGAAGATCTTGAAAAGTTACGAGGAACAATTTTTTACGCTACAATCGGATAATTGAGCGCAAAGTTATGATCGTTTGAATTTTTAACCTAGGTAATTAGGAGTAGCTCGTGGGTGTGTCCAGTGATCTACCCTATATTTGGTGTGAATTGCTTAAAATAGTCGTGTTCCACTTCTGTTGATGTGTAAATTTCATTAGTGTATTGTTTGGGTACTTATTTGTTATTATGCAGCTTAATCCTAATTACCCTAGATTACTAATGTAGAAGGGTATTAGTAGGCCTTGGTGCGGCTGCTCTTGTAACACACACGAGACAGATTTTTGTTATGTTCTATGATAGTGGAAACCTACTCAAACTCTACTCACCGTGGATTAGTCCCGTCAATTGATGTGGATACCACGTAAATCATCGTCTCATTTACTTTCCTCATTCATAAGATTTTACATGGTATCATAACAGTAATCGATCCCGCCAAAATTGATTGATGTTTATGATGGTAGATACGAAGGATTCTTCGAGCGCCACCAATGCCCCCTTGTCGGGGCCGACATGGTTTCTTCGATTCCCCTCTCTTCCCATCTTTTCCTTTACCCATCTAAAACTCCAGGTAAACTTTTCGGCAGTGACCTCCAGACTGATCTCAATTATAGCGAATGAGCTGCTGAGATGATGGAAACCCTTATTGCCAAGGACAAGCGAGCCTTTGTTGATGGTTCGTTGTCACGATCTCTGCCGGTACAACTCAATGTACTTAGATGGTTGAGACATGTGTGATGCTACTGTAAAGGGGTGGATCAAGATTACCATGAACAAGGAAGTGCGTAACAGCGTTAGCGGCGCTAACAGCCGCGAGATTTGGCCTGACCTACAGTAGTGGTTCGGCACCAGCTCCGCTGGTCGTGCTTACGAGCTACATCGTTTGAGTGACTCTCGCTGCCAGGATAAACAGTCTGTCAACGCTTTCTTCACCAGCATGTGCACCTTATGGAATGAGCTCCAAGCCATCTGTATCAACCCGAAGTGCTCTTGTAATGGCGGTTTGTGTGATATAGCGAAGCAAACGAGGGAGAATTTGGAGACCGAGCACCCATTTGATTTCCTTCTTGGACTTGATGACGCATTCTCGGTTGTTCACACACAGATTATGGCTTAAAACCGACTCCGTCATTAGCTAAGGCATATCAAATGGTTGCCACAGAGGAACATCGGCGGCAGCTCACCTCTGCGCGGTGACCGGTTGTTGATTCGACGACCTTTCAAACTCGTGGGGAGAAAGACGAGGATGACAAGCCTCATTGTGAGCACTGCTGTAAACATGGACACACAAGGTAGATGTTTTTCGCTGATTGGTTATCCGTCTGAGCAGGACAAGGGAAAGAAAGGGAAGCAGTAGACCGAGTTTCTCCTTCGCTCCACTACTAGCAGCGCGTCGCAGGTCAGCAGTGATGAGAGCCCGATCCCGGGGCTGACTGGTGCCCAATTTGCATATCTGAAATAGTTTTTTTCAGACGGTCATCACTCCGTTTCAGAGGTAAATTCGCTGCATACAGGCCGATAAAGGATTAGAGTTTTAGACGAATTCTCTTTGTCTTTACTATGATGAACACATAGTAAAGACAAAGAGAATTCGTCTAAAATGAGGTAGTCGATGGGAAGCAGTAGAATGAGGTAGTCGATGAGGTAGTCGATGGGAAGCATCGCCATCTCTTAGACACCGTCCGAGCTCTTCATTTTCATGCAGGCTTACCAGTTTGGTTGTAGGGTGATTTTGTCTTGACTGCAATGTATTTGATTAATCGGCTCCCTTCCTTAGTGTAAGGAAACAAGACCCCTTTCTAGATCCTCCTTCTCAAAATACCCACCTATGAACATCTTCACTCATTTGGTTGCTTAGTATATGCCAAGAATACTCGATCATCGCAGGATAAATTTGGTGAATGAGGTATTCGAAGAGTTTTTGCATACTACATCTTGTCTACCTTATTAATAGAATCCCTACTCCTATTCTAGGTAACAAATCACCATATGAGATCTTGTATAAACAACCTCCCTTCCTAGGTAACTTAAGATTCTTTGGTAGCTTCAGGAAGAACCAAGTTTGCATACTCTTAACATATGGAAGAACCAAGTTTGCTCCAAGAGCATAACATGCATCTTCTTAGGACTACCTTCAGGAATAAAGGGATATAAGCTACTGGATATGCATGATCATACATGTGCCCAGGAATGTGACCTTTTATGAGGATATCATGCCTTTTAGACACCTAGATGGTGAGCCAAATGTCAAGTCCACTGCCACCACTCAGCCAAACATTCCTACCTCAAGCACTTCTCTAGAAATCATTATGTCAATTATTCCTCCAATGTCTCCACCGACCTCTCAGTCCTACTCATCTAGGATGGTGGCGGCATACCACTGAGCCAAACACTTATAGTAGCACTTCTATGCATCAGTATGAATACTTTGAATTAGATGATAAGGAGTTAATGCCACAACAAGATGTTGACCCTGATGGTGAGGATTTATTGAGGAAATGAAGACACTTAGAAAGGTAACTCTCCTAGCCAAATACAATTAATATCATCTTGATTCAACACTGCAGTTTGGAGGTTTCAAGAATGTCAATGCTTGCAATAGATATCATGTTTGCTTGAATGTAGATCATCTGAGTCCAGCAAATAGGTCTTATGCAATGAGTGATTTGAATCAAAGTCAACCAATATCTTATTATGAATCAATAAAGTGATGAATGGAATAGGGCAGTGAATGTTGAGGTATACTCACTTGAAGAAAATCAGACACGAGACATAGTTCCACTGCCAGAAGGAAGAAAACAGTTGGGAGTAGTGGGTGTTCAAACTCAAGTTGAAGTCAGATGGCTCAATTGAAAGGCACAAAGCCAGACTTGTGGGCGAGGGCTTCACACATGTCTATAGGATTGATATTCTAGATACTTACCCTTGAGTGGCCAAAATCAATTCTGTAAAGGCATTCTTAGTAGTGACAAGTGTGAAGAACTGGGTTTTGGAACAATTGGATGTATCAAATGCCTTTTCTCATGAAGAATTGGAAGAAGAGGTGTACATGAAGATTCCATTAGGAGTTAGAGTGCCCAAATCAAATGGACAAGCTATGGCTTGCATACTTAAGAAGTCAATGTATGGACTTAAACAGGCTTTCAGGCAGTGTGGTTTGCAAACTACTCAATATTCACTAGATGGATACATGGTAATGTAGTTATGCTCTTGGTATATGTGGATGAAGTCATTTTAGGGGTTGATGCACAGAAAGACATAGATCAAGTGGAGATAGCACTAGTAAAGAGTTCAAGTTGAAGATGCTAGGGCGACTGAAGTATTTCATCGGTTTGGAGGTTACCAGGAATGAAGTTGAGATAAGTGTCTCTCAGAGGAAATGTTGTACTAAGTTACTCAAAGATACTGGATACTTTGAAGCAAAGGTGAATTTGGTTGCAAACAAAACCATATTGTTGAATGGAGAATGTTAACGAAGATTGATTGTAAGATTACGCTATCTAACCATCACTAGACCAAATGTAGCTTTTATAGTCCAACAGTTATGCCAATATCAAAGGAACCCTTGCAATGAACATCTACAAGCTGCCTATAGAGTACTCATGCACCTAAAGAACTCACCAGGACAAGGAATTCAATTAAGTAGCAAAGCAGAATTGAAACTTATTGGTTATAGTAACTCAGACTTGGCAAGCTGTCATGATACTAGAATATATGTAATCGGTTATTGCTCTTTCCTGGGAACTTCTCCTCTCACTTGGAAGATAAAGAGACAAACAATTGTCTCCAGGTCTTCATTAGAGGTATAGTACAGGGCCCTTGCACACTTGGTTTGTCAGATTCAATGGTTGGGAAGATTACTTGCAGAGTTAACAGTCCAGGTACCTTTGCCCATACCTATTGTGACAACAAATCAACAATTCACATTGTAGAAAATCCTATCTTTCATAAGAGAACCAAACTTATAGAAATTGATATGCATGTTACATAAGAAAGAATAAAAAGTGGTATGATAAAATTGCAACATGTTGGAACTGCAAACCAACTTGCGGATATGTTCACCTGGGGGTTGGATCGATTTCGAACTGCTGAGTTATTAATCAAGTTGGGGATTACAAGTGAACTTTGATCATCGCCAACTTGAGGAGAGGTAGCAAACCGAAATGGACTGCAGAGCAAAGGAATCCTAATCAGCTATGGATGGTTTGAGGAGGAGGAAGAAGATGATGAAGTAAGAAACTGGACGTTTCGTTTCATTATTGCTTCCTTTGTTTTTAAGTGTTGTGACGTCGTTTTCTTTAGTATAGCCGTTAGCAAAGCACGGTTTGTCTTTGCTAATTGGTCACTAAAACTCTGACACGTGCTTTTTTATGGTAATTCGGTGTCATTTCCATAAAAGAAACAGACAACAGAGATTTCAGAACTTCCTCTTCCCAATTTACTTGCAAATCATCAATGAAATTCTAACACAAGCGATTTTACGACGTTGTTACAATCACTTTTCGGATTTACTACCCATTTAGCAGTGGGGAGTTACTCGACTTTGCCATCCTCTGATGATATACGAATTATACAAAGTACCTATAAGTTGAAAGGGTAAAACAAGTGTGTGCCTTTAGACACGGCCGAAAAAGACACCAAAACTACTCTCTCTTTTTTTTGTCCTACAAGTTTCCGTGACATAGTACACTTCCCATGCACCCATCAGCACACAACCTTAACGTAAGATCCAAGCAAACCCTAGTTCTTTCTTGTTTATAATTACTTTTCTTCTTTTCTTTCCTTTCCTTTTTGGGCACTCACTCATCCTTCGACTCTCCTCTACTACTACATTTCAGCGACTTAAGTTAACTCATCATCAAATAGATATATCTTCTTTTTTTTTTTTTTTTAAGAAAGGATTTTCTAGGTACCTCTTCACTGCTAATTTTGTCATTCTTCAATTTTTATTTCGCAAGTTTCTGTCAAGAAAGATACACAGGCTCGTGTGTGCCTCAACCAGAAATGTGGAGTAGAGACAAAATAAAAGAAAAGAATTGCTCCATCATCTTCTTAAAAAATAATAATAATAATCATAGATTGCTTTTACAAGAGACAAACTCTCATCACTTGGCTTTTTCTCTTTACCTTCCTAGAACAATTATTCCCTCCAACCCTTGTCTCACTTTTCTCTTCCTTCTCTTCTTTACTCTTTCTTTCTTCCCTCTCTCTTTCTTGTATTCCTAGCTAGCTAGGATCTCATTCAGGAGAAGCAGGATCAGAGCTGGAAGCAGAGAGGAGAGAAAAATGGCGCCATAAGCTGCTCGATCTATAACAAGTTTTATCATCATGACGTGGTGCAATGACTGCACCGATGTCCAGACCATCGAAACCAGCTCTCCTCATCCTCCTCCTCCGGCGAATCATAGCAAGTCCAGCAGCAGCGATCATCAACATCACCATCGCCATGGCTTCACCAAGAGCTGCCCTTCTTGTGGATTCCAGATCAAATGCCAAAACCAGGTCTGATCTTTTCATATTCGATATTATTGTAGGCTGTGACATGATGAATATATATGAAGAGAAGGAGAAGTTTAGTTAGTTTGGGTTTGGGTTTGGGGGGTGTTTTGTTTGTGTAGGCTCGGATCCATGATCTGCCGGGGTTGCCAGCGGGAGTGAAGTTCGATCCGACGGATCAGGAGCTGCTTGAGCATCTGGAAGGCAAAGTGAAGTCGGATGCTCGTATGCTTCACCCTCTCATCGATGAGTTCATCCCTACCATTGATGGAGAGAATGGGATCTGCTACACTCACCCTCAAAAGTTGCCAGGTACGTACCTCCCTCACACAACGTACAATCATTAACCTAAGAGTATAAAATTGATCTCAAGGATCACTATATACTGTTATAGACAAAAATTCATCTAAATTAACCTAGGTAGGTCTAAAGTTAAAAAAAAAAAAAAAAAAAAAAAGTAGAACGTAAATTTTAGGATGTTTTTTTAAATTCTGGGGGGAAATATAATACATTGATCATGCAAATTATACGATGTCATTAAAATATTCTGCCAAAAAAAACCATGATTTCATCGCTCATCTGATGCTAATGTGTTTCTTCACGTTGTTTGTTGCAGTAAGTGTGCTCTTTTCAATATTTGATATGGCTTGGATTTTTGTATTAGATTTAATTGCATGATATATCAATTAAAAAATGAATAGAGACCACAAAAAAATTCTTAAAATTATTTACCATACTTGGAAGATTTTGATCAAGTGGCTATAGATATTATTGTCCTATAATTAATGTCGCATAGTAATAGATGCAGGTTGCAGTACTCTTGGAGCATAGTTATTCAAATTACATATTTATGTATAAAATAATGAATTATACGATATGATATTGCATTTATCTTCCAATGAATAAATCTCAGATCCCTGTTCTATACAACAAAATCAATATATCAATTTTTATAAATAAAAAATATAATCAACAATATAATTATGATTTATCGAAGTTCAACGAAATACATCCAACCACAAGATCACTAAGAAGTTGTTTGGAGGTTGAGATTTGAAGTGAGTTATTTAGAAAATTCATGTAATGATAAGATTAAGTCGTTTTTTTTGTTTCATACTAAAAAAAAGTACATCAGTCATTCCAATTACTAATGTTCACTTAAAATGAAAAATAAAAAAAGTAAATTTAATCGAAAATGAGATGCTAGCTTTCAAGTTATTCTGTCTAGGTCGCACCAGAATAGTGGGTGAACCATACTCTTCGTCTTCCTTGATTGGGTAAAGATACCCCATACATCCTCCCAACTAACTTTTGGAGCAATTGTGGAAATTGGTATTCAAGTAACTGTTTCCGTACCCTAGAAGAAAACCAGTATATCACCTAATCCTAACTCCACAAGGACATCTCTCCTTCCAACTCACTGCACATCAGAATGCACTCCCCCTTCTCAAATTGTATTTATTGCCTGCTGATATCTAGGATTTGGAATTATAAATAAAATAGTTGTATGTGATATTTTCTTTCTCTATTTTCATGATAATCTTCACTTCTCTTCTTGAATAGAAGTTCTAAAAGATGCATTTTTTTTAATGGCGTGGAATGCATTACCGATGCAAAGGTAAATCAAAATATTATAACGGTATGGTAGCTTAATGATGGTAGAAGTGTGAAGTTTAAATCATACAATATGATCGATACTTCTCAGAAGTTTTTTTTCGTTTGCTTCAAGGATTTGCATCATGGATTTGGTACCAAAAAACCAATCATCATGGACACAATCCGTTGTTTGCTTTGTCAAAAAATGTTTAGATAAATCTGTGGACCCCACGGATTTGGGTTTTTTTCCTCCAAATCCATGGGCCCCACGGTTTTATAAATCTCACCTTATACTCTGGGATTTGGAGACAAGCTAAAAAACCATCAAATCCATGATAAAAATAGCTCAACAAACAGAAGATTTTCTCAAATCCATAATGCCCAAAATCCCTAATAAATCCCAAAGTTTTTAATTAGCAAATCCATGACAAAATCCTCGTTATAAAATCCTTGAAGCAAACGACCCATAGTGTATAAATAGTGGGATACGGACATATCAATGAAGGCTTCATTTAGAAAGTGAAATGATGAGGAATTATAACAAATATAGCAAGATCTTCTTCTTTTTTTTTAACAAATATATGAAACAATAAACTCAATTTTTTTTCATATTGTAATTCAAACATTGTTTAAATCGAGTATCATTCCAATTAGCAAAAAAGAAAAAGCTCTACATTTTTCAATTATATATTATTGCAAATAACACGATTCAAATATAATCATCATGAATTAATTTCCTACACATTTGGGTGACATGAATGCATGCACACCATGCAACCGCAGGAGTGAGCAAAGACGGCGTTGTACGGCACTTCTTCCACCGTCCCTCCAAAGCCTACACCACCGGCACCCGAAAGCGGCGCAAGGTCCACTCCGACGACCCGGGAGGCGGCGGGGCCAGCAGCGGCGGCGGCGGCGGCGGGGAGACACGGTGGCACAAGACCGGGAAAACAAGGGCGGTGCAAGTCGGAGGGAAGACGAAAGGTTACAAGAAGATACTCGTCCTCTACACAAACTACGGCAAGCAAAAGAAGCCCGAGAAGACCAACTGGGTGATGCACCAATACCACCTCGGCTCCAGCCAAGAAGAGAACGACGGCGAGCTCGTCGTCTCCAAGGTCTTCTACCAGACCCAACCCCGACAGTGCTCCTCCGCAGCCACCAGCATTAACAATCCGCCGACAGCGGCGGCGGCGGGCTCGAGACTGAAAGGGCCGCCGCCGTTCTTGATGATGACGACGACGACTCACCACCACCACCAGCACCATAGAAGTGTTGTTAACGGCGTTGACAACAATCTCACGGAGTATTACGGCGCTCACCATCCTTCTAGCACTTCTGCCGCGGCGGCCGGATATATAACGTTTGATCAAGGTGGCAGCAGATCGTCACCGTCACCGGCAGCAGCTGCTCCTTCTCAGCAGCAATTGATGAATAATCCTCATTTCAACGTCCATGATCATACTTCCTCTAACTATGATATTCCTTGATAACTTGGAATGGTGAAGGCATGCATGCAACTACGTACGTGGAGGATGGTAGAACAATAACTAATGGGGATTAAGTTTCTCTCTAATATATTATATTTGGGACTTCAATACGTCGATTAGGTTAATAATTTGTCTAGTGGTGAATATAATTAGTGCCTAGTGATGAAGAAGAAGAAGAAGAAGAAGAAGAAGAAGAAGAAGAAAAAAAAAAGGACCATCATAATTCAACGTGGGGTGATGATTTCTGGAGGACAGAGGAGACAATTATATCTATTCCACAGCTGGCTAGCTAACTTTGGAATTGTACAAAAAAGATGATTCTTATTAATGGGTCAAGGATATTCTATCCGACCAGCTGTTTTGGCTTATTAGTTGCTCTTTATTGTGCTTTAGTTAGGGCTTTGATATTGTAGTGACTAATGAGCACAATAATTGTACAAGAATAAAATCTGTTGTTTTGTTGATTGTTGCTTCATTGTCACACCCCCAACTTTATTACCATGTGTTGTTGCAATATGCATTGGGCTAACTGTGCCTTTTTCTCTCTTTCTTACTTTTATTCATATTCGGTTTTTTTTTTTCCTTTCCAATTAATTTCGTGTTGAACTTGGTTCGAGATTGTAGCATAAGATATAAAATTCACGAGTAGAGAGTTTGTTGAGAAATTTTGATGTGGTCGTAAATTAACACGGTATATTCTTGATTTAAGTGCACAAATTGCATGTATGAGTAGTATAGGGTCTCAAAGTCGTATTCCTTGAGATCTATAGATGTACCGATACTTATAATCAAGCTCTTCTATTATTGAGCAAAACAAGTTTGATGTTCAATTATTTATTCTAAACACTCTAATTGACTGATTATGAATGATAAACAAGTGAGGGAAATGTCGAGTATGGACTCTTGGGTGGAGAAACTCACTCTGAATTTAATTAATCCCTACACTTAAAACGAGCACCGATTTCACCTTCACAAACACCAGCAAATTACAGGTAAACCTTCTGGTATCCCAAAAAATATACAGGTTCTACAAATTTACACTACACGCATCCTGGGATCTCTTTCCAAAAGTTCCTTGAACAAACCGTTGCCAACATCGTCATCACTCAATAAGTCTATCGAGGACAGGGACAAAAAACGTTCAGTTCTTGAGGACGTGTTTTTTGTAGAGAGCATACACGTCCTTCTTTTGCTTGCTCTTCAGCTTGAGCAACTCAGCTCCAAAACCGCCATCATTGAGTTCTTGCCGCATTCTAGCCACAGTTAACTTGGCGTAACTAACTACTGAATCAGCAGGCTTCCTGCTCTCAGCATCATCTTCAGCTTCACTATCCACCTTCAAAGCAGACTCTTTGCCCACCTCTGTGGACGTGCATTTTTGCAATGACATGTTGGTCTTCTGTCTTTTCCTCTGCTGCTCAGTTTTTAATCCTCCGTCGGAAGCCATGCTTTGGCTGGGAGAAGCAAAACTCCCAGGGAGCTCTGGCGACCATGTTCGTTTCGACGGAGTTGGAAACTTCATCTCACTCAGCATCTCATCGTCCTCGTTTGCATTTTCAGAGTTCAGATGTTGCTCGATTGAATGAAGTTTTGCTTCCAGTGATTCCGGATCAAACGACGTTGTCAAATCACGTTCTGATTCCAAAACTGCATCATCCACTACTTGAATTGAGCTTGACAGTTGCTCACACTTGGATTTCCATTGATCGATTTCTTGGTTTCTTTCTTTAAGCATTTCTTCTAGCAAAGTCACTGGTTTACCTGTAAGATCTGATTCAATAATATACTGTCCTTGCTCAAACCGTGCTGTTGCAGACTCATTCGTCGACGACTTGCACCTTTCATGGGTTTCCCTGAGCATTTTCAAATCAGCAAGATACTTCTGCTCGACTTCGGCCTTTTCCTTCAACCTCGCCTGAGCTACATTAACTTCCTCTTCGGCAACCTTACACCTAGCCTGGATCTCCTCAAGTCTTTTCGACTCAGCGAGATACTTCTGCTCGACTTCGGCCTTTTCCTTCAACCTCGCCTGAGCTACATTAACTTCCTCTTCGGCAACCTTACACCTAGCCTGGATCTCCTCAAGTCTTTTCGACTCAGCAAGATACTTCTGCTCGACTTCGGCCTTTTCCTTCAACCTCGCCTGAGCTACATTAACTTCCTCTTCGGCAACCTTACACCTAGCCTGGATCTCCTCAAGTCTTTTCGACTCAGCAAGATACTTCTGCTCGACTTCGGCCTTTTCCTTCAACCTCGCCTGAGCTACATTAACTTCCTCTTCGGCAACCTTACACCTAGCCTGGATCTCCTCAAGTCTTTTTGACTCAGCAAGGTACTTCTGCTCCAATTCCAATTTTTCCTGTAACCTCATTTGTGCTTGGTTTTCTAGTGATTGAGCAGATGCTTTAATAAACTCATACTTGTCATTCAATTCCTTAAACTGAAGCTTCAAATTTGAGGTTTCCAAATCATAGGCCTGTATTCTTTTCTCCCCAACCTGGACCAAAAGATCACTTTACTTATACATATGCATCCAAGTTATCGGGAGAAGACTAACGCTACAATAAAGGAACAGCAAGGAATTCCCAAAATAATTTATTTTCAAGTAAACAAACCTGGAGATTGGACGTTAAAGTATTTAATCTTCGCTCAGCATCTTCAAGCTTCATCATTGTGTCCTTAATTTCCTCGTCCTGACCATCCATTTTCAAGAATTAAGCATCTCCACAATCTTCCAAGCTCCACCAAAAGGAAAAGACTAACTAAATATGAGGATCCATAGTGGTGCACACTTATAGATCCATAGGAGTATGTATATGTAAATGTCACAGCTACACAAAGGTAGAATAGGTATGCTACTTAACAAATTCAGATAGGGAGTGAAAGCCACACCTTTTTCGCTAAGCTGTTGGAGAATTCCACCCTGAGGGCTCCTTCTCTAAGCTTTGTTTGATCAGCTAAAAGTTTAAGCTCCGCCTCTGCTTTCTCCATGGCATCCTTGGATTCATTTACAGCAAGATCGTACTTATCTTTCCATTGACGTGCCTCTTCAAAAGCCATCTGAGCTTCATTAGCAGAAGGTTTTGGTTCTGGACACCAAGCTTGTTTGCCAGCCCTAGAAAATTTGGATGACACGTCCCTGGGCCGAGGATCACTGACTTTTTCTTTTAAATAATTCCGATCATCAAAATCTTTCCTATTAGTAAATGACTCCTCATACTTTAGTTTCCAGTCCAGAGATTCCTGCTTCACGCCATCGAGCATTTCAAGCAAACTTGAACATTTATCCTCAATTGAGCGGCAATTGCTCTCCATTTCACTCATGCGCTTCTTATAATGATGAGAGAGATTGTTCATGTCCTTTACAGCATCTTCATAGCGACTTTGATATTCAGATTTTAACTTCTCACTTGCTTCCAACTTCTTTAGGAGCAACCCAGCCTTCTCTTCCACCGTGCAGCATCTCAGCAGCAAAGCATCCTTTTCTGATGAGACATTATCGATCAACTTCTTGAAGTACTCAAATATCGGGCCAAGCACGCTGGATAAAGTGGTTATAGCTGAAAGTTGTCAGTAGAGGCTTCATCCATTAAAACAATTTGTCTGTGTTCGAGCCTTAACTAAACATGCTGTGTAAGTAGTTCTACTCTAAATTACTAAACGCAATCCATGAAGAACCCCAATCATGACACCATGAAGAGTGCATCTAATTACTTGCACAAACACAAGTCCTCAGTAACTGGCACATGTAACCTACAGAGCATATTTGCAGGAAAACTACAATAATGTAGAATCTGCAGCCGATATAATTCAATCACTCCCATAATATTCGGATGCCCACTCATCATAGTTGGATATTCAATGAAACCTTGGAATTAACCACATTTAAAAAAAATAGTCTTGCAACTTTGATTTCTGTGCTTGTATAGCGAATATGCAACTTAATTTAGTACTTGTACCCAATCAACAAAATATAATACCTTTTTGTTAAGGAGAGCTGATGACATCTTCCAGGACTAACAACCACTTCATACTCCAACAAAAGGCCATCAAGAACCTAAACATAGACATATATCCATGAGGGGTTATATATCACTAATCATGAAGCAGATGTATACAGTTAGTGATGGTTATTCAGAAGTAGTATAACGATAATAGAGCCGCCCAACAGACATGAATGATCTGATGCAAGCATATCTCTAACCAATGAGCTTTTGGGTCACTATAGCATCAACAAATTTCAAATTTCTCTACCCGATTGCAATGTTGGAGACTAATGCAACTCAAATAAAACCAGTACCTAAACGACAAGTACCAATATATCATAGCACTGCTTAAGAATTAGATATGTCAACTGAAGCACCAAGAACTTCGGTATTTTCCCCTTGGAAAAAGAACTTGGCTATGTATGGTCTTTTTATGTACTTTGAGAAACACAAGCACAGCCCACCATCTTGTGTGTTTGGAGAGAGCCTGACATTTGTTATAATAAAGCCAGAACGACAAGGAGCTGTATTGTGAGTAGCAAACTAATGAGAGCCATAATTCATTTACCATGGCAACATCATCCAATTTTACATTAGCACCCTGACAAGCAGCTTCCAACTTTTTCTTCATTTTATCAATAGGACTAGAACAACGCAAACCTGCTTCAGTGGCTGCATTAACTTGAGCCTCCTGCATGACAGTATCACTCATTAAGGTGAGGCTTTAAGTATCCATTTTGAGGTCAGAAAAGAGAATTTATATCGCCAATGAATTTCCATCGTTAGCATAACTTCTGCAATAGGAGTGTCTAAGTCAAAGCAGTGATAACATATTCCTTCTTTCAATTCATCTTTTTCACTGGGGTGTTGAAGCAAATGGCAAGTATAACTAGGGATAGCAATGGGTTGGGTATCCAAACCCAACCCAGCGAGTACCTGCCGGGTGCATTGGTACCCACGGATTCAAGAACATAAATCGCGATGAATGTCGAAATTTTCATTACAACACACATAGCCATAATATATAAAATAGCATCCACAAATTATCCATATACATTATGCATAATTCGAGCGGGGCATCTGTGGACGAATTAGTATCATCACCTTCACTAGTGATTGAACTCCCCCTTGAGGCGAATTTGGAGAATCCATATCAATTCACCTAAACCAAAACAATTTGATCAATGAGTTGGTAAATTTGATCCTGGTCAGTTTGAGATAGTAAATACAGTCTCGGAAGCAAAGCAAGACATCAAGTGATCATTCATCACCCGAACAGAAAAATAAATTAGCAGCACAAGAAAGGTTGGTGAACATGGGAAGTCATCCATTCATCAAACTCAAAAGACGGATTGAGAAACCATAAGCGAAAAAATGGAGTCTTTCTAAAATCTCAGTTCATCCATACATCCATCATCTATCAAGCTCGAGAGTTAAGAAAAAAAAGTAGAAACAACAAACAATCGGCAAAGGAACTCACCGTAGTCAGCAGACAGCAGATTCGACACTCAGCAGCAGGAGGTCTTGGTAGGCGGCTGAGGCATTCAGGGAAAGCTGGCAGGCGATGGGAGATGTGGGGAATTCTGGATGACGGCGAGGTGGACTGGAAGATTCGGAGGGCCGCTTGGGAGATGTGATCGGCCGCGATTAGAGAAGAAATGCAGCAAGGTGGGGAGAAGAAGTGCAGGGGATTAAAAGAAAAGAAGATCAGCAGGCCGATCGGCGAAGTCCAGCAACAAAACCGCGGGAACTCGGTATCGACGATCAGGACTCTGGATTTGATTTTCGACACTCGCCAGAGGGCGCTGAGATAGAGAATTGGGGGAGGCAGAACACAGACGAGAGATGAGGGATTGCTTCATGCCTAGGGTTAGATGCAAACATGCAAAACAAAGTCGTTTGGTTGCTGGGTCAGGGTGGAGAGCGGGCCGGGTTTTGAGCAAACTCGCATCCGACTCAACTAGTTCATTCTCAAAGCGAGGTTTAACCGCTTAAAGATGACATCCGTTTTATCCAATCTGTTTGGCCTGTTTTGGGCGTAGAAATTGTCATCTTTAAGCGGTTAAACCTCACTTTGAGAATTGAGGCGGAACGGGATAGATATGAGTACTCTCATTGACCCGACCTGTCCTGCCCTATTCTCGACGTGTTCTTGCCCAAATTGCATGTAATCTTAGTCAAATTACTTAGGATTTTTCATTTATTACATCATAATTTAGCTATAATAAAGTTGTAAATTAGTGAAAACCTCAATTTCTCTAATAATTTAACTACATTTATCATAATATCGTTTGTTTTCTTGGTCGTATAATAAAAATAACGAATATTTCTAATGTTTTTCATATAAATTGCATAGTCATTGGGTCGACCTGCCCCGAGCTGTGACCCGTGATAAATTACCCGACCTGGACCCAACATGCCACGGGCGGGTCTGGGTACCATGAATCCCGCCCCGGCCCCATTGCCATTTCTACCACACATTATTCGAAAACTCGTGAATATGAAATTTCTCAATGTGACTGAGTTTGGCTGGATCGGGTACCCACGAAAGCGGGTTTAGTTATCAACCCTAAACATAACCATGATACGTTAATTGTCACATACTCGCACAAGTGATGCCAATCAACACAAAAAACTAATCCAATAAATGAAGTGAGTTATGTACCATTGGTGCAAAGGGAAATCAGTGATATTACTTACTAAAGAAATCTTGGAGAAGCATGTCATACTTTCTTCTTACTAAACGAGGTCCAATTGCTCATGCATGAAATGCAACAACTGACTTCCAACTGCTGTGTTATGAGCTTGTTCAAGTAACACAGGATCATAATATAATTGAAGTCCGATAACAAGCTACCAGTTTTATATAAATATTGTTGCGAGACGTGTCCTTCATTGTACATATATACTAATTGGTGATGTGTTTGGCAATTTGTCCTTGTAACCCTAGGAGATAGACGTTGGGTTAGAAAGACCAGGCATATAATGTTAGAAACCGAACATAAAATTTAGGGTTACCAATCTGGCTGAGTCGCGGACTAGGTCGCTCTCTTTAAGACGTTCGCGGCACTGCCTCGTATTGCGCACAGCAGACTATCAGCCGGTCGCCTCCAGGATAAAACAGTCATTCTAATTTTCTTGCTCATCGGTTTTGTGCGAAAAACCGGAGCTCTATGAATTCACTCTCTCTCGTGTTTCTGCTCTTCTGAGGTGTGTTTAGAGGGTCTGGGACGTCTCCTAATTATAGGAGCAGAAAACCCAGAATATTCCCTCTTTCTTTGGGAATAAGTCACATTTTAATTAGGGAGATTATTACTCCCATAATTAAAATATATTATATTAAGATAATTAATTCTAATTATCTCCATAATATTCTTTTTATTAATTATCCTTCTATTTTCGTATATAGAAAAATACTGGATAATTAATTCAATATAGCTTTCAAAGCTATTCATTCCCAACAATCCCCCACTTGAATAGTTTTGAAACTATCTCTGAGCATCAACAAATCCATAAGATCGGGCATAAACTAAGGTATCGCGAAGATTTGAACCTTAGCGTAGTGGTTACACTTCTGATTTCATAAGGGTGACTCGTAGTCTTGAACCCTATCTCAGACAATGTAGCACACCGGATCTTTTCATTGAGTGATATTCTCTCATAGGCCGTGCGTTTATGGCCATGCACGTTATCCCGGTTTAGTGAACGCTCTAGCAACTTTGTGCCTCCAAAGTTCCATAGGGAGCGGCCCCACTCCCACATTCACATAGGTGAGTCTATCAGAAGTACCCCCAAAGTAAAGTACTTCACTCCACATAGAGTATAGATCTCATTAAGAGTTTTAACTCAACCTCCAAGGCTTTGGGATTCATGCTTCACTATGCAAGAACTTTTCTCAATATTACTCATGACTTGTTATTACCCATTGAACCCGTTTCTTGGGATCTCCAGTCTATCGGGTCGGGTTACCATCACTTGTAATCCATGGTTCGGTAGGCATAAGTCTCATACCCTTCGTGGTATTTTGGACTTTCTCTCTAGATAATCCTTTCGTCAAAGGATCAGCTAGATTCTGTTAGGATCTTACAGGATCCACCCTCATTGTTCCTATCGTTAGGAGTTCTCTTACAGTACTGTGCTTACGACGAATTTGTCGTCTCTTTTCATTCTAGAACCGGTTCCCTTCTTTAGTAATAGCTGCGGTGCTATCACAATGAATCAACTACCGGAGGGATCGGTCTTTCCCATAAGGGAGTCTATAGTAATGATCCTCTCAATCAACTTTTCTCTTTACTAGTCATTGATAGCTCTATCATTTCTGATTTCTTAGTTGATTGAGCCAGGATCGTTTACTTCTTAGAATTCCAAGACACAACACTTCCAGTGATGTTTAAAACATGTCCACCGGATGCCTTGGAATCTTCTATAGGGTATTCTCGTCCGCATCAATATACCCTACCAATACAGCCATAAATCGTTGATAACTTATATCAAGGTCTACTGTACTTAAGGTGTCTCATGACCCTTTCAATAGCATTTCAATGCTTCATACTAGGACAATCAATAAGCCTGTCAAGTACCCCCCCCCCCCCACTAAATCGGGTCTCATGTTATCAGCTGCCTCTCGCAGACTGTAAATGCTAGTATATTCTAACTTTCTTACACCGTCTTAGGTGTTCTTTAAATATTTATACTAGCATCATCAAACATGTATGAAGGTGTACATCTTGTATTTTCCTAGTTATTAGGATCTCTAAGCATAACATTTGTTTCAAACAGATCCTTCACATTCAAAATTCTCAACCATCATGGTTTTTCAATATTGACATCACGAGTCTTTGTACCAAAGATCGACGTGTCATTCATAATGCAAGTGTCATTCTCAAATTTGTACTAAATGCACTTGTCACTTTCACTTTTAAAACCATGAGAGAGAACCAGTTTATTCATGCCATTGTCTTAGAGTCTATTTCAAATCTTACAATGATTTGTCTAACTATAGACTCCCTAAGCATGTTCAAGAATAACAACCCTATAGGTTGTCCCATGTAGATTTTCCTATCTAAATCACCATTCACATAAACATGTTTAACAATCCATCTGACGCACAACACTAGCAATCAGAACATACATGGATGTTATTCTACATATGGTGAATAGATAACAAAAAATTTACAATTTTTCCTTTTCGCTTAAAGCCTTAGCTATTAGGCGATCCTTATACTCACAAACTAAACCAATAGGTTTCACTTTTCTTTTAAGAATCCATTTATTACCCATGACTTCATTGCCAAGAGGTAATTCTCATAAATGCCAAATCTTGTTCGATTCTATCGATATATTACCCAAGGCTTTTCAACCAAGAGGTAACTCTATAAGATTTTAAGTCTTATTAGACTAATAATTCCATTTCGTTAATAATGGATTCTCCCACAATTCTGCATCTTTATGGAAGTTCGAACTTCTAGCAGACTTGTAGGATCTTTCTTTCTTAGGGTGTAAATAAAAAATTCATAACCAAAAACCTTAAGAGATTTCAGGTTCATTTGCTTCTTCTGAGTTTAAACTCAGATTTATTACCCCCACTAGTTCCATTATTTCTAATAGTAGGCAGGACACTACCCCCCACTA